ACAACACTGTCTGTGATAGGATAATATGCATGCATCTACAGGGAAGCCCAGTTAATACCGCTATTATTCAAATTTACGCACCAGCCACTAAAGCACAGGTAAACATCTTTGTGATATTCCCTGCTTAATATAGTGGATTACTAGCTTGGCTGCTAACCTCAAGATTAGCAGTTCAAATCCACAAGCCACTCCACAAAATAAGAATGTTGTTGTTGTTGTTGTTGTTGTTGTTGTTGTTTGCTACAATAAAGATTTACAGTCTCAGAAATCCTATACAGGGTCACTATGAGTCATAACCGACTTGACAATACACAACCACCACCACCACTGCTACCATGTTAGTAGAACATCATTATCATTATATATCAATGGTGCCTCATCTGGCTTATTTCTGACAACATCTTACAGATGAGAAAACGATTCACCAGAGTGCACAGGTTCTGTTTGTGATGTGAATAGTATTTGAAGCCAGTTCTGTCTGACAATGAATCTGCTATTTCCCTGAGGTCCCATTCATTTACTAGGTAAGCCCACAATTAATTAAACCGAAAAAGAGGCAAACATATGTCTGTTGAAATGTACAGCTTGCCTCTACGTCTGCTCTACCGTCTTTTAAACCTAACGTCAAACTCAATCCCTTCTGCATCTTCTTCTGCAAAAATAGTGTCTTTTCAAGCCTCTACAAATTCTAAATGGCTTTAAGATAATTTTGGGGTGGGGGTAAAACATGCACTGCTATGACCCTGTCTTCATCTCTATTTCTTTCCATCTTATTCCTTCTGTCCTACCCTCTCAGACAATTTCATGTAAATTGAATATATACGCCTGCTATGAAAACAGATGTACCCTCTCTTTAAGCATTGTGGGAGTTGACTCTTAGACGTTCATACACCAGAAGTGCAATAGCTCTTCAAAGACTTAGACCTTTCTGAAGCTAACTCAACTTACAGTACGGTGGTTCCCATCTCTTGCCAAAATTGGCACTGAATGATAACAAGTTGTAAAAGGCTGGGGAGCTAGAGGACAGGCATCCACAAACAGAGACAAAGCCATTCTCTTTCTTTATATTAGGTGTGGCGCTTGTGGATTAATACGCTGGACTGCAAAATTGGTTTGAACTGCAAGACAGGCAGTTCAAGCTCACTAACTGCTCCTCAAAATCCCTATACAGTGTTGCCATGGGTCAAAACAAACTAGAAGGCACTTTACAACAACAACAATTTTCCTGTAACAAATTATCACAAATTTATTAGTTTAAGAAGCAGAAATGTATTATTCACTTTGTTGTTGTTAAACACTGTTGAGTCAGTTCCAACTCATGGTGACCCTGTAGAGGGTTACTGAGGAGCAGGTGGTGAATTTCAACTGCTGACTTTGTGGTTCAAACTGAGCTTTCAGTCTTACGTTTATCCTAAAGCATCATACCAGAACTTCTCCCTTATTTTAAGGATCCCTAGGTGTCAGGGTCAACAGTTCGAAACTACCAGCTGTTCTGTGGGAGAAAGATGAGGCTTTCTGCTTCCATAAAGATTTATAGCCACGGAAACCCTGTACAGGGTTGCTATGAGTCAGGACCAACTCCACGGCACATAACAACAACAGGTGTCCTGGTATGGCTCTGTGGTTAAGGCGGTAGACTGCAAAGCCATTTGAACTGCAAGATTGGTGGTTCATGCTCCCCAGCTGCTCCTCAGAAACCCTATACAGGTTCACTATGGGTCAGAGTCGACTCGATGGCACTTTACCTGTAGTGTAATGGGTTACGAGTTGGGCTGCAAACTGCAAGACAAGTGTTCAAATCTACCAGCTTCTCTGCTGGGCAATATGAGGCATACTGCTCCTGTAAATATTTATAGCTTTGGAAACCCCACACAAGGTCGCTGTGAGTCAGAAGCGACTCCACAGCACACCACCACCACCTCATTTATGGATTATCTCATTAGCTGACATTTTACATTTATGACAATAATAATAAACCTGCTTTATTTTCCACATGTATGTCTGGCAGTAACAAAGTAATTTAGGTATGAGGAGAGAATAACACTGGCTGTGAAGGCTAAGGTTAACATCGACTCAACTGGACCATGATTCTCATTGGTTTGACAGTCATGCAATGATGTCATTTGACAGTTATGTCACGATGTTGTCATCCTGAATGTTGTTAACTGATGTGGTCATCTTCCTTTCTACAAAATTCCTATTTGCACATATGGCCTGGTCTTTGGAACCTAACTAACTACACTAAGTGAGAAGTGGATGTATTTCTGCAGATCATAAATCTTACAAAATAAAAATCATGGTATTGTAAGGACTCATTCCTTTTGGGAACTCTAGGAAAGAATCTATTTCCTTGTTCTTCCATCTTCTAGAGGTCATTCAGAGTCCGAGTGTGGTGCTGTGGGATAATGCAAAGGACTACAAAGTCGGTTTGAACCACAAGGCCTGTGTGTCAAGTTCACCAGCTGCTTCTTGGAAACCCTATGTAGGGTCACTCTGGGTCAGACCTAACTCAACACCAACAGCAACAGAGGTCCCTCACATTGACTTGGTGCCCCTTCCCTGTATCACTTCAAACTCTCCTTCTTTCATCATCTCTCTCCTCTGCTTTGGACTCTCCAGACTTCCTCTTATAAGGCCATTGGGATCATATACAGAACACACCTGACTAATCTGAGGTAGTCCCTTCATCTCAAGATCCTTAACATAATCACATTTTCAATGTCTCCCTTGACATGTACACTACATATTCACAAGTTCTGTGGATTAGGAGGAGTTATAGTTGAGGGCTTTATTGCAGATTGACATATCCTTTTATCGTCTCCACTGCCTTCCTCAGAGGAAGAATTCAATATGACTGAGGAGAGGAGAAGAGAGGAAGCAGTCAGTAGATTTATGAAGCAAAAGAGCAGGCAGAGACCTGAGATGCTGGGGCCCACTAGTCTTTGTGGAAGCTTTTAAGGACTGGCGGCTCTTTTACATCTGCCTTCAATGTGGAGTTCATACCATTCAGCTGTCTGATCAAGGAGCAAGGAGTTGCTGCTGAAATTCAATCTATGACAGATTGGTAAAGAAAGCTAAATGTTATCTGAAACATCCTACACATTTTTTCCTGGCAAGAATTTAGGTCAGAGATTGTTTTCAAGACTAGGGCTTTTTTCATGTTCTTAAGGTGGGTCCCACAGAAGAAAGGATTCCATGCAGGTATGATATTTCGAAGGTGCAGAGAACCTGAGAAGAAGGTAGGGACGAGAAGATGGCTAGTAAAGGTATATCCGAAAGTAGCTTCCAGGTAGGGCAACTGGGATGGAAATAGCTCGCTGTAATTCAATATGGAAGGGGAGTCTGTGGGGTATTTAAAAATCCTGGTGTCACAGTGGTTAAGTACATGGCTGCTACCCTAAAGGTCATTGGTTTGAACCCACCCCATTGTTAAGGATACAGCAGTGTGCTCCAGCTTCTGTAAAGATTTACAGCCTTGGAAACACCATGGAACCATTCTAAAGGATTCCTATGGGTCCAAATGGACTCGGCAGCAATGAGCTTGCTAGTTTATTATTGTATTTTAGGGAGCTTGCCTAGGTCAGTCACTGATTTGAAAGCTTTATATAGCAGGTACTAGTTTCAGGGCCCTCTGACCTTCGACCCCTACAGTAAGAGCAGAGTTGCATAGCTTCAGAAAGAGCAGTGAGACACTGAGAAGGTATTTAAGTCAGCAGTAGTGTGCTAAGATATAAAGGTTGCATAACCACAGGAAATGCTCTTTCCACATAGGAAATTATGCGCATTTCAAGTCTGGAGTTTTGTGTGCATTATTTGTTCTCTTAGGATCTAACCTTAGAGACCAGTTACAGAAAGGTCCCTAGGAGTCCAGGATGCACTAGAGGAAACAGGGGTTTGTGTGCAGGGCAGCTGCACTGTGGGTTGGCCAACCATAGTCGTGCAGACAGTAATATTCTCCTGAGTCCCCGGGCTGCACAGGACTGATGCTTAATACATAGTCAGTTCCACTTTCACTGCTGCTGAACCGGGCGGGGACACCAGGAGCTAAGGAGTGATGAGAAATAAGGGGCTCTAGTCTTTGTCCCAGTTTTATTCGGACCCAGGATATTTCTTTATGGACATCGGCACTGGCCCGACATGAAATGGTTATCCTCTCTCCAGGAGATACTGACTGGGAAGCTGGCGTCTGGTTCAGGGTGATGTCCCCACTCACTGCCAGAGAATAATAAGAAAAGAATCATTTATGGAGCAGGTGGGGGATGTGCAAGGGTTGGAGTCCTCTCCCTTAGGAGTGAGTTCCCTAAACTGGGCACACCCAGGCTGCATCCTTACCTGCTCCCCATAGAGCCAGGCTCCAGATGAGCATCACCTGAGTTTGCACAGTCATACTGTGGGGGAGTGTTCAGAGCAGTATCTGTTGGGTTCCTGCATGTGACATCAGACATTTATAGAGTCTAGGGTTACACAAGGGGCATGCAAAACAGGCATCTAGGATGCAACGCCTCCCAGCAGACTCCTGGGACTCTGAAGGTTTCTGACGTGAGAATAGGGCTGGCGCTTCTCTAAGGCGATCAGAAATATTAGGGTGAGACTTTCTCAGTTTTTCATAATGGGCAGGAGGAAAGTTAAGGAACAGCTCTCTTGTGCTTCTCACTGACCTTTGCAGCCAGCCTACAATCACCTAGATGTTACATGTCATCAAGTGCCTGGTGACAAATGGTCAGTGAATGGGTAGTGTTTGATTGTGGGGCCAGTAAACTTGTGCCCACTAATGGACAGAGAGAGGGCCTGAGTGTTGCCAAACAGAAACGAGGGCTTGCTCCCTGTCATTGTGGTCAATCTCAGAAAAGGGAAGAGAGCCAATCCAAGCTTTATACCAGAAAGCCAGCAGTTCTGGAGGACGCAGTGGATCATTTCTCAAGACCATCTTGTCTTTTATGAAGAGTGGGTACATTATATAGGGAAAGTTACATTTGGATGTACACTTAATCTATTTTAACAACAACACTGCATTTTTTGGAAAAAGAAACAAAAAACAATAAACTTCCTCAAGGCGTGGAGGAAGAAAGAATCTCCACTGCGTATTATCCAATCTCTCTGGGATGGAGTGATGAAGGGAGATGGGATAGCACTCATGTGGTACAGTAGTGAATAATTGCTATCAGGACTGACTGAGGGTGGGAAAAGTAAAGGTAGAAAGTTTCTAGCAAAAGGAGGGAAGTGATTGACTTTGAAGTCCAGGAGTGAATGTTCCTGGGACCATCAAGGGAGAAGAGCAGGAGTAGGGGACCCAACCCAGAGAAGCAGGGATGCCAAAGTTGCAGGCAGAGATGATGACATGGAGAGATGGAGTGGCTGGGAACTTTACTCCCAGAGAGGGAGAGGGGCTGTGTGCTGATGACTGAAGGACAGGCTTATAAAGTATACCCTTTGGTTGTTTGATGATACATGGAGGGGATTGTAACCATGGCAATGAAACAACATATGATAGGATAAATGTAAAGCTAATGTACTCCCATGTAAATTATCACATAATTCACAGTAAAACATTAAAAAAAAAAAAACACACACACACAGAATCTGAAGACGTAATAGAAAAAGTAAATAAAATATGCCAATAATTTAATATTGACTGTATGTTGAAATAATACTATCTGGATGTATCGTGTCAAACAAAATGTATTAAAATTAAAATAAACTTCCTCATCAGGAAATCATCCTCAAACCTTTCACCTTTTAAGATCCAAGCTGCTTAGTTTTGAGATAACTATCTGGGTGAAGTTAAGCACATCCTGTTCTTCTTCCAGGACCCTGAGGTCATCTTGGCTAAGTTTTAAATTAACTTGCTCATTTGCAGGGTCTTCCCTTATCAAGACCTAATAACTAAACAGACTCCATTTTCTTTAGGTCGGTAGATCCACGCTATCCTGAGAGCCCAGGACTTTCAAGACTGTGGGGGTCAGACTGTCCTCAGACTGTTCTCAGTGGTCCCAATAACTGGTCACTCACTGGAGGCCTAAGGACGGAGGTCCAGCAAGATGTCCCGTTGAGTCTTTATGGTCCGATTAGAAAGAAAAGTCGTTTATGTTACATAACGAAATTATAGGCATATACACAGAGTCCTAGGAGTCCTGGTGTGGTATTATAGGATAAGCGCTGGACTGCTAAACACAAAGTCAGTGGTTCAAACCTTTCAGACGCTCCTCGGAAACCCTATCCAGGGTTGCTATGAGTTGCAGCTAACTCGCTGGCACTGATCAACAACACTTGGAGTCCTGGAGAAGCGAACTGTGAAGCGCTCGGCTGCTAACTGAAGGACTGCTTTCTGAACCCACCTAGGAGCATGTTATGTGGGAGAAAGATTAGGCTTTCTGCTCCCGTAAAGATTTACAGCCTCGGAAATCCTGTACATGGTCGCCATGAGTCGGAACCGACTCCACGGCACATAACAACTACAGTATTCCTTAGGCCTGGTGTGGCACTATGGATTAAAGCGCCAGACTGCAAAACCATCTGAACTGCAGGGTCAATGGTTCAAGCTCACCAACTGCTCCTTGGAAACCTTGCACAGGGTCGTTATGGGTCAAAACCGACTCAACGGCACTTAACAATAACAAGAAGTATTACTGAGAGTAAGTAATCTGTTGGTCTGTTTCTGTAAAGATTATAGCCTGCCCCCCATCCAAAAAAAAAAAAAAAAAAAAAAAATCCTCAAAAGTATCTCTACTCTGTCACATGGGGCTGGTGTAAATCCGGAACAACTCGATAACAACCACAATAACAACAACACATTTATCTACACAAATATTCTATATATGCTATGATTGTTTTTCTTAAGTGCTATGGAGTCACATCCAACTCATAGTAACCCTGTATAGGGTTTCCAAGGAGGAGCTGGTGGGCTTGAATCCCAAACTTGTGGTTAGTAGTCCAGTGTTTATCCCACATATGATCCTTGGATGTATGGTATTTTTTATATACTATACAAGGGGACTTCACCAAGCCCAAGGAAAAATTCCATTATTTTTCATTACACTTTCCCAGGAACTTTAAAAAGTATACTAACTTAGAAATATTATGAAGAAATAAACATATTTACATATAACTGGTTATAAATCTGATGGTTAGTAGGATGCATGATTTTAAATTTTGATAAATTGAACAGGAACATTTAAACCTTTCTATGAACTTCCCCACTGCAGGGCCAGAGACTCAGGTAAAAACTAAGGAATCTGGGGAGGAACTAACCACCAGGGTTGTGCTGGGCATGCGCAGTGATGTCCCCATTTGTGAGGACTCTGAGTGACTGAGGGGGTGCTAGGGGAGCAACACAGCACAACAGGAGGTACCTGAGACATGTAGGAGACCTGGACCCTAAGTGCAGAAGCATTTCTCTCCAGAGCTCAGTCCCAAAGGCAGTCCCTCCCAAATGCCAATTGTGGAATAAAAGCAGCCTAAGGTCTTCTGTAACCACTGTGGTCACAGGACAAAACCCCCTATTCCCTGTCCAGAGCCTCACCTCTGACCTGGAAGAGGGGTGGACTTCCCCAGCTTGCATTTGCTCTACTTGACTGCTAGGGTTCTTTGTTCAGAATGGAACTTGTCTGCCACCTATTGCAAACTTGAGGATATTTCCAATTTTGCTTCAGGGCTTATCAACAATGATGCATTCACTTGTACTTACCAAGTGGAGTCAGAACAATGAGCTTAGCCAGGATGTGTGTGGATAACATCAGTGTGTGAAATCAAGTTAGTTTGTTGTAGTTGTTAAGGATCTTCAAATTGGTTTTGACTCATAGTGACCCTGCAAAGGTTTCCCAGGGTGTAATTCTTTGTGAGAGCAGAAAGCCTCATCCTTCTTCTGAAGAACAGCTGGTGGGCTTGAACAGCTGGCCTTGGCTCCATAGTACAATGTTTACCCTACAGAGGCACTATGGTCTTCAAGATACATTGTTGTTGTTGTTAAGTGCCATCAACATGCATTGGCGTGCATAAATTCAATACACTGCAACCATTCTTTCGATGACTCAGAAAAGAGATTCTACAATTGTCCCTATAAAGAAGGTGGCAATGTGTTTGAGAAATAGGTGGTATACAATTCCAAACTGTGGTCCCATGCCCACAAGGGGCCCTTCTGACTTTGATCTCTGCTCAAAGGTTAAGGAAGGGTCCAGGGGAGGAAGACCAAAGCAGAGGGATTGTGGATAAAGAAGGCTGTGTAATCACAGAGCATACAGTGGACAGTTTCCATCACTCATCATATGGGAAGATCATGACCCAGTGACATAACACAGAAGACCCATTCAAGCCTGTGAGGCTCCCCTGTTGATAAAAGAACAGACAGCATCACACTTTACATTGCCTAGTATTTCTAGGATCAGGCTTTTGCCTGTTTATTGTGGGCTTTGTCTGCCATCTAATGGCCCATTTGTTGCATAGCAACTTAGAGGATTTTA